TGGAATAAACTTCAGGTTTAAGTAAACACTTATCTTACCTTTATATACTTTTTTTTCACTATGCTAGTTTCTGTTTTAGTTTCTAACAAGATTACAGTAAATCTATAATTATATGTAGCTAATGCAAAAATTGTGATTTTTTTTTTTTGCTTTTAAATTAAGAAACAATATACAATTTTTAAAGAGGTAGATAAAACCTTCAAAAGCTTGCATGAGAGACAAGGATCTCTCCGCACATTTTGCACCTGGGCTCAGGTTTGTTAAATCTATGTCTTAACATGGAAGTGCAAGGACCACAATTACTGAATGCCAGAATTAACAAATAAAATATTAGTTAAACACAGTACTGTGCAAAAGCTTAAGGCAGCTGTAAAAAATGCTGTAAAGTAATAATGCTTTCAAAAATAGATTTTTTAATTGTTTATTTTTTATCAATTTACAAAATGCAAAGTGAGTGAACAGAAGAAAAATCTTAAATCAATATTTGGTGTGACTATTCTTTGGCTTCAAACCAAAATGAATTCTTACAAGTGCACACTTTGTACACTTGCACAAAGTTAGGGATTTTGTAGGATTAGAGTCAGGTGTATGATTAACCAGTTATATATCAAACAGGTGCTATTGATCATCAATTTCTTATGTAGGTTGCAATACAGTCATTAACTGAAACAGAAACAACTGCACTGGGGGCTTAAAACTGGGTGAGGAACAGCCAAACTCTGCTAGTAAGGTGAGGTTGAGGAAGACCAATTCATGTCACAGGTCATACACCAAGGCAAGACTGAGCACAGCAACAAGATAGTTATAATGCATCAGTGAGGGCTTTCCCAGGCAAAGATTTCAAATCATACTGGGATTACAAGATGTTCTGTTCAAGCTCTTATGAAAAGCATAAAGCAATGGGCAAGGCTGAGACAAGGAAACAATGCAGCAGATGAAAAACACATCATTCTTACTTCCCCTCGACATTGGAAGATGTCCAGCAATACTGTCAGCACACAACTGGCGGAAACCAGTGAGACCCAGGTACACCAGTCTACGGTCCGGAGAGATCTGGCCAAAGGATTGTGGCCAAAAAGTGAAAACAGGCTAAGCAAATCAACTATGCAACTGCACAAAAACAAAGGAACTGGGGTGCAGCAAAATGGCAGCAGGTGCTCTGTACTAATGAGTCAAAATTTTAAATAATTGGCTGTAGCAGGGGGGCAGTTTGTTTGCCAAAGAATTGGAGAGAGGTACAATAATGAGTGTCTTCAGGCTCCAGTGAGGCATGGTGGAGGTTCTTTGCGAATTTGGGGCTGCGTTTCTGTAAATGGAGTTGGAGATTTGGTCAGGATCAATGGTGTCCTCAATGCTGAGAAATACAAGCAGATACTTATCCATCATGCCACACCATCAGGGAGGTGTGTGATTGGCCCCAAAATGTATTCTACAGCAGGATAATGACCCCAAGCATGAAACCAATATCATTAAGAACTATCTTCAGCGTTAAGAAGAACAAGGTGTTTTGGATGTGATGGTTTAGCCCCCACAGAGCCCTGATCTCAACATCGTCGAGTCTGTCTAGAATTACCTGAGGAGACAGAAGGGTTTAGGGCAGTCTACATCCACAGAAGATCTGTTGCTAGTTCTTCAAGATGTTTGGAACAACCCACCTGCCCGAGTTCCTTCAAAAACTGTGTGCAGGTAATTTGATTTGTCTTCCTTTTCTGTTCATTTACTTTTAATTTTGTTAATTGATAAAAATAAACTATCAACACTTCCATTTCTGAAATCATTCTTAATTTACAGCTTTTTTTTACACCTGCCTAAAACTTTTGCACAGTAGTGTATATGGCCACATTTCTCACACTCAAAAAACATAAAAATGGTAATAAAGATCTTTTAGAATTGCAAAAACATTATTCTAGCTTGAATTTGAATTGAATGTATTTATTACAAGCCAACCTCAATGCACTGTTTAATTGGACAACTATGTGGCAAATAGGAGGTTTAATGTTGATAAATGTAAGGTTTTGCACTTTGGGGCTAAGAATATGCATGCATTATACATACTACAGGGGGTACAACTGGGGGAATCAATGGTGGAGAAGGATCTGGGAGTTCTGGTAGATCACAAGCTTAATAATGGCATGCAATGCCAAGCTGCAGTTTCTAAAGTGAGCAAAATTCTCTCTTGTTTTAAAGAGGTATAGACTCCACAGAGAGAGATATCATATTACCCCTGTACAAATCATTAGTAACACCTCATTTGAAATATGCAGTTCAATTTTGGGCACCAATTCACAAAAAGAACATTGGGGAACTGGAGAAAGTACAGAGAAGGGCAACCAAACTGATAAGAGGCATGGAGGAGCTCAGCTATGAGGAATGATTAGAGGCACTGAATTTATTCTCTCTTGAGAAGAAGAGATTAAGGGGGGATAAACATGTATAAATACATCAGTGGTTCATATAGTGAACTTGGTGTAGAGTTATTCACCCTGAGGTCATCACAGAGGACAAGGGGGCACGCTTTACGTCTGGAGGAAAAGAAATGTAATCTCCAAACATGGAAAGGTTTCTTCACAGTGAGAGCTGTGAAAATGTGGAATAGGCTCCCTCAAGAGTTGGTTCTGGCCAGCTCAGTGGATTGCTTTAAAAAAGGCCTGGATTCTTTCTTGGTTACAAAGAATATAACTGGATACTAACATTTATAGGTAAAGTTGATCCAGGGAATATCTGATTTCCTCTCGGGGATCAGGAAGGGATTTTTCCCCTGCATGGGCAAATTGGATAATGCTTTGCTGTTTTGTTTTGCCTTCCTCTGGATCAGATTAATGGTTGAACTGGATGGACTTTTATCTTTTTTTCAGTCAGACTAACTATGTAACTATTAGGGAAGAGCACAATTCAGAGGGAAGAGTGAAATTCAGAGTTTTTATTTCCTTGAAATTTTAATGACAGTCATGAATTTTCAATATTTTTAGTAAAACTCAATAAAGTCAATGAGGAAGGCATCATTAATGTGCGTTTTTATTTTTTTTTAAGATGCAATGGACTTTAAATGATCCTTGAGGGTTATAGAAGGTCTCTTCAACTGTCCTGAACCTGTTCTCCTGTTCTTGTGCCTGTGTGTTTTTTCAAAGAAAGGAAAAACAAACCATAAAAAAGTAAAATAAAGTGACAGTAAACTAATGATGATCAAATGCACAATGAAAACAGAAAAATACAAAAAGCACTAAATTACCCTAAATATACCCCAAAACACAACTTGTAAATCACCTGGAACCATCCATTATTTACAGATATATATATATATATATATATATATATATATTTTTAAAGCTAGATTGGTGGTTAGGTAAATCAGTATTTGGTAATGATTTTGATACACCCATATTAGATGGGCCTTAAATTCTTCTTTAGCAGAAGCTTATTGTACAACATATTCAATAGTACATAAAAGGAAAAAATAGAATATGCTGTGGGCAAAAGCATGGAAAATGTCAGTCACCAAGACAGAAAGTATAAGGTGCCGAGAGCTCTCTACATGAGCATTAAAAATGCTTGGGGCACACAAGTAATTAACAAGAACAAATGAGAAGATATGAAAGGGGAAGAGCATTGATATGTGTTTTGGCTGCAGTGGGACTAGACTAAAGAGGACAAAGCGTACAAGGCATTAGCAGAAAAAAATAGCAAACTATTGCAATTCTAAATAATTGGTGATATAAAAATTTACATATTTGCAGAGAAATATTTAAACATTTACAAAAAATATTCAGCCTTTTAATTTACCCATGTGAATACTGTAATATAATTCTGATATTAACTCAACCTGTGATGCTGAGAACTAAACATTTTATTCTTGTTTCTGTCTGAAATACATTTAGCATTTTAAATTCCATATTAAAACTAATAAAATTATCTCCTGCCTATAGCATGGCATGTATCTTAGGTTTAAAGTGGTTCTAAAGGTTGAAGTTTTTTACCTTCATGTATTCTGCAAGCAGCTTGCTATGGGGGCACTTGGAGAAGAGAAGGAGCCAGGAGTGCTGGCGGGGGGATCGAGAAGAGGAGCATCAAGGTTGCTCTGTGCAGCAAAACCATTGCACAGAGCAGGTAGATGTGACATGTTGTTATCTTTTTTTTTTTATTCAACTTTTAATATCACTGCAATTTTAGCAAAGCAGCATATACAGATGTTTTCTGGTCCAGCTGTATATTTGGCCATGTAAACAGAAATTTTGGCTTAAAGAGACTCTGTCACCGGGAGAAGATGATGCGGGTATGAATAGCAGACACCTAGTGCATACCTTCAGCAGCTACCAGTACCCCCTGCCATGGCCAATCTCAGACCATTCTGAAAGGCAAAACTTTGCCACTGCTGAAACTTGCCACATCCATTCTGTCAGCCAATAAAACTGCCCATTATACTGATCCAAAGGGATGTGTAGCTCACTGGAAGACTCTGACACTACACAGAAATATATGTGTTTGCCTGTCCAAACACTTCACATTTGGCTCTGACAGAAAGCATTGGGAAGCTGCCGCAGGTATGTTCAAACACCTCTACATGCTTGCTCTTCATACCTGTAGCAGTTTACCCCTCATCCCCAGAATGCATTTCTTTAACCACTAGCCTACAGGGCACTTATACCCCCTTCCTACCCAGGCCAATTTCCAGCTTTCAGCGCTGTTGCACTTTGAATGACAATTGCGCGATCATGCAACACTGTACCCATATTAAATTTTTATCATTTTTTTGTGACAGATAGAGCTTTATTTTGGTGGTATTTAATCACCTCTGGGTTTTTTATTTTTTCTTAAACAAACCAAAAACCACAGAAAATTTTGAAAAAAAAAAAGTTTTTTCTTAGTTTTTCTTATAAAAGTTTGTAAATAAGTGATTTTTCTCCTTCATTGATGTGCACTAATGAGGCTGCAGTGATGGACACTGATAGGTGGCACTGATGGGCACTGTTGAAGAGGCACTGGTAGGTGGCACTGATGGGCATTGACAGGCATCACTGATGGGCACTGAAAGACAGCACTTATATATGGCACTGATAGGCGGCACTGATAGGCGGCACTGACTGGCACTGATAGGCGGCACTGACTGTCACTGTTAGGTGACACTGACTGGCACTGTTAGGCGGCACTGATAGGCAGCAATGACGGGCACTGATAGGCGGCACTGATGCACACTGATAGGCGGCACTGACTGGCACTGATATGTGGCACTGATTGGCAGCACTGATAGGTGGCACTGACTGGCATTGATAGGTGGCACTGACTGGCACTAATGGGTGACACTGAAAGGCAGCTCAGATGGGCACTGATATGAGGCATTGATGTGGCACTGATGGGTACTGAAATGTGGCACTGATGTGGCACTGATGGGCACTGGCAGGTGGCATGGATGAGCACAGAGCTGGCACTGATGGGCACTGGCAGGTGGCACTGCTGGGGCTACACAGATCATCAGGGCACACTGATCATCAGTGCTCTGATGATCTGTGTAGATGTCCCCTCCGAGGAATGCCGATTACCGGCTCTCCTCTCCTCTCGAGCTGTCAGCGTTTCTCTGTTTACATGTGATCAGCTGTGATTGAACACAGCTGATCACATGACCGAGCCGACATCTTCGGCTCTTTCCGTAGATCGGTGATCCGCTGTGTCCGAGGGACACAGCGCACCGCTGATTGCCGCGCTGCGCGCTCCCAGAGCGAGCCGTGCATGTGCGGTGAGAATGGGAGGACGTCATATGACGTCCTCCCAGAACGAGAGAAACCGCCTTGCGTCTGTCATATTACTATATGGCGGGCGGGAGGCTGTTAATGTCTCTTTCTGTGCTGTCATATATTAATAAGGCCACATACAGTATATACATATATATATACTGTATTTATATATATATATATATATATATATATATATACACTATATGATCAAAAGTTTGTGGACACGTGACCATCACACCTACAATACACGAATTTGTTGAATATGCCATTCCAAAACCATAAGCATTGATACACCGCTGAACAACACTTTGGGGCTATAACTGATTCCACTGGAAAGTGTGTCTGTGGGAATTTGGCCCATTTATTAAAAAGAACATTCTGTGAGATCTAGTAATGATGTTGATGAGAAGGTCTGGCATGCAATAGGCATTTGAGTATATATCAATTATTTTCATAAGGGTTAAGGTCAAAGCTCTGTTAAGGCAACTCAGGTTCCTCCACACCAAGCTCATCGAACCATTCTATTTTGGACCTGACTTTTGGGCACAGTCATGTCCTAAAACTGTCATCACAAGGTTGGAAGCACACAGTTGTTTAATATTTCTTTGTATGCTGTAACAAGAACCTTCACTGGAAACACCTGCATTCAATAATTACTGTAGGAGGGGGCGTTTTGCTATATAGTATGTGAGATTATCACAGGTGTCCACAAATTTTTGATCATATAGTATATATATACAGTCATGGCCGAAATTGTTGGCACCCTTGATATTTTTCCTGAAAATCAAGTATTTCACACAAAAAAGGTATTGCATTAACACATGTTTTGCTATACACATGTTTATTCCCTTTGTATGTATTGGAACAAATATAAAACAGAGGCAGAAAAGCAAATATGACATAATGTCACACAAAACCCCAAAAATGGGCTGGACAAAAGTATTGGCACCCTTAACTTAATATTTGGTTGCACACCCTTTGGAAAACATAACTGAAATCAGTCGCTTCCTATAACCATCAATAAGCTTCTGACACCTCTCACCCGGAATTTTGGACCACTCTTCCTTTGCAAACAGCTCCAGGTCTCTCTTATTGGAAGGACACCTTTTCCCAACAGCAATTTTAAGATCTCTCCACAGGTGTTCAATGGGATTTAGATCTGGGCTCATTGCTGGCCACTTCAGAACTCTCCAGCGCTTCTTTGCCATCCATTTCTGAGTGCTTTTTGACGTATGTTTGGGGTCATTGTCCTGCTGGAAGACCCAGGATCTTGGACGCAAACCCAGCTTTCTGACACTGGGCCCTACAGTGCGACCCAAAATCCTTTGGTAATCCTCAGATTTCATGATGCCTTGCACACAGTCAAGGCACCCAGTGCCAGAGGCAGCAAAACAACCCCAAAACATCATTGAACCTCCACCATATTTTACCGTAGGTACTGTGTTTTGTTCTTTGTAGGCCTCATTCCGTTTTCGGTAAACAGTAGAATGATGTGCTTTACCGAAAAGCTCTATCTTGGTCTCATCTGTCCACAAGACGTTTTCCCAGAAGGCTTTTGGCTTACTCAAGTACATTTTGGCAAACTGTAGTCTTGCTTTTTTATGTCTCTGTGTCAGCAGTGGGGTCCTCCTGGGTCTCCTGCCATAGCGTTTCATTTCATTTAAATGTCGACGGATAGTTCGCGCTGACACTGATGCTCCCTGAGCCTGCAGGACAGCTTGAATGTCTTTGGAACATGTTTGGGGCTGCTTATCCACCATCCGGACTATTCTGCGTTGCAATCTTTCATCAATTTTCCTCATCCGTCCACGACCAGGGAGATTAGCTACAGTGCCATGGGTTGCAAACTTCTTGATAATGTTGCGCACTGTGGACAAAGGCAAATCTAGTTCTCTGGAGATGGACTTGTAACCTTGAGATTGTTGATATTTTGCCACAATTTTGGTTCTCAGGTCCTCAGACAGTTCTCGTCTCCTCTTTCTGTTGTCCATGCTTAGTGTGGCACAGACAGACACACAATGCAAAGGTTAAGTGAACGTCTCTCCTTTTTATCTGCTTTCAGGTGTGATTTCTATATTGCCCACACCTGTTACTTGCCCCAGGTGAGTTTACAGGAGCATCACATGCTTGTAACATTCTTATTTATCCGCAGTTGTGAAAGGGTGCCAATACTTTTGTCCAGCCCATTTTTGGAGGTTTGTGTGACATTATGTCGAATTTGCTTTCTTTCCTCCCTTTTTTTGTTTTGTCCCAATACACACAAAGGGAATAAACATGTGTATAGCAAAACATGTGTTAATGCAATACGTTTCGTGAGAAATACATGATTTCCTGGAGAAATATCAAGGGTGCCAACAATTTCGGCCATGACTGTATATATATATATGTGTATATACAGTATACAGTGTTCAGCATAAATGAGTACACCCCAACAGATTTGTGAGAAAACCTAAACTTTCCTTTCAGAATCAACATTTTTTATGGGACACTATACAACAAAATACTCCCACAAATGCAGGCCATTGATTGCAAACAAGGTTTGTTAATTTGCACACACAAAAATTTTTTTTTCTAATAAATTAGTTCAAGACAATGTTGCATAAACTAAAATACTCCAATAAAAGCCTTAGGAGCAAATCTAAATTTTAGACAACAAAACAAACAAAATCCTAATTAAAAAGAATTGAACTACAGGTGAGTATAATTATTCATTAAACAGGTGTCCAGCGGACAGCTGAATATAAAAGGAAGTTACTTAACAAAGAATACCCCTTTCCATTTCATGCTGTCAGCAATGACACCACATGGAAGAAAATATCACAAGGCCTCAGAAAGAAAATAATTTCTTATCACAAAAAAGGTGAAGACTACAAGAAGATCAGCAAAGCTTTATTTATCAGTCAGCTTTACTTTAGCAAAAGTGATACAAACATTTAACAAACATGGAACTTCAACCATCTCACAGAGACATCCAGGCTGTCCACAGAAGTTAACATCTCGACAGGAGCATCTTTTGATGAGAAAGGTTGAAGAAAATCACCTTGCAAGTTCACTGCAGTTGGCTAAAGAAGTAGAAAGCCAAACTGGGTGATTGTTTCTCGTGACACAATACGACATGTACTGCAGAGGAATGGCAAGCATGGCTGTCGTCCACAAAGAAAGCCTCTCCTAAAGCCCATGCATAAAAAAGCCCACCTAGAATTTGACAGGTTAAAAAAAAGAAGATTACAGAGACTCTGTACTCTGGATTGATGAGACGAAGATACATTTTTTTGGAACCGATGGCTTCAAAACTGTATGGCGTTGCAAAGGTGAGGAGTACAAAGAAAAAAATGCATGGTGCCTACAGTGAAACATGGTGGTGGCACTGTCCTTCTGTGGGGTTGCATGAGTGCTGGTGGTGTCGGAGAGCTGCATTTCATTGATCGTATCATGAATTCACAGATGTACTCTTCTATATTGAAAGACTTTTCCAACATGACAATAATCCAATACACACATCTAAGGCCACTGTTGCAATACTGAAGAAGAACAGGGTGGGTGAAAGTGATTCAATGGCCAAGTATGTCTCCTGAACCCAATCGAACGCCTATGGGGAATTCTGAAGAAACAATTTGAGCATCATTCTCCATTCAGCATCCAGGCTCTAAAAAGGTTGTTCTTGAAAAATGGAAAAAGATAGATGCTGCAATATGTCGCCAGCTTGTTCATTCCATGCCTAGAAGACTTGGTGTTGTCCCTACAAATCATGGAGGTCATACAAAATACTAGATGTAGTAATTTTTGTTCTAGGGTTTATTCATTTTTGCATCAAATAATTTGAGTAAAACTGAAGATTTTTTTCATCTAAGTTATATTATTTTATTATTTATTTATTACAGGTACTTATATAGCACCATCAAATTACACAGTGCTTTACATATATATTGAACATTCACATCAGTCCCTAACCCTCAAGAGGTGTACAATCTAAGGTCCCTAACTCACATTCATACATACACATACTAGGGCCAATTTAGACAGGAGCAAATTCACCTTATCAGCATGTCTTTGGAGTGTAGGAGGAAACCAGAGTACCCGGAGGAAACCCACACAGGCACAGGGAGAACATGCAAACTCCAGGCAGGTGGTGCCGTGGTTGGGATTCGAACCAACGACCCTAGTACTGCCAGGCAGAAGTGCTAACCATTTAGCTGCTAACCAATAATGCTGCCCATTATTATTAACCTTACGTTCATGTAATGAGCTAAACAAATGTTGTATAAAAACTCAGTTTTGTCAAAATTCTTGTGTTCATTGAGATATTGATTAAAATCTTACTTTTCCATAGGGGTGTACTCATTTATGCTGAACACTGTGTATGTATGTGTGTGTATACACCTTGTTCCAAATTAATATGCAAAGGATATTTTTCTCATTTACCTAAATAATTGATGTAAATAACAGTCAGCATAATTCTTATGTTATCAACTATTAAGAGTACAATTCACATTTTATTGAACAAACCTCCTAATGATAACAGTATTTTTTTTAAACATAAAACACACTCCAATGCACTGTTCCAAATTATTATGCACAGTAAGTTTCAAAACACTTTATAGGTTGTAAAGAACTGAAAATTGTCATTTGTTGTGTTTGCAGCATATTTACTGAAATCAAAAGCTATTTCAATCAAACTTTTAACAACATTTTAACTTTTAAAAAATTTTAACAGGTCACGTTACATTTTAACATAGGACCCCTTATCTGATAGCAGCTTCACAAGTCTTGCATCCAGTTTCTGCTTGAATTTGTTTGCAAGATGTCAGAATAGCCTCCCAGAGCTGCTGTTTGGATGTAAACTGCCTCCCACCCTCATAGATCCTTTGCTTGAGGATGCTCCAAAGGTTCTCAATAGGATTGAGGTCA